ATCTATCCAGCTCACCACTACTGCGGCCACTTGAATCTTATCACCCTGACATCCAAAACATCACAACATATGCCTACTCACACTGCCCGGCCAATGTGTTCTAATATTTGTGGCTCCTTTCAAGGGTATTCCAAGTCATTTCAAGAGCTGGGATAAGTCATAATCCAATTCTTCTCTATTATTATAACTCTTAAGAGTAAGTGAATGCGATTATTTCTAGTCCAATTCTTACTTCAATTTGGCTCAAAGAAAATTAATTTTCTTTCTCTGAAGATTACTCCATTTATAGAGTTTTAGGTTAACATCAAAACTCAGAACAAACCCTTTGCTTGGCAAAGCTATAGCTTGGAATGTTAGCTCAGCAAAGCCCTAGCCTTTAACCTTGAAATGCAAGTATGTGCCAAGAATAATTTTTTTTAAGACAATATATTTTAAATGTAATTCTTCCTTTTAATTTCTGGTAAGCAACAATCTCCTAGGTGTCAGGGTCGTTTTAAACAAGGAAGGCAACATTCTCTGCATGGAATTCCTTGGGGACATATTACAAGATATTGTCCAATTATTATTAGATACAATATTATTTTCAATATGCATAACAAACAACAGTTATATAGTGAGTAATTACTATGTATTAAACCCTATATTAGATCATTTTTATATTAGATATTTTGTGAATTATTTCATTTGATCCTTACAACATGCCTATGGAGCTTTATTATCCTCATTTTATAGGTAAGAAGTTAACTTAGATCAGATGGTAAGTAAAGAGAGTTTATATAACTTACCTAAGATCAAGTAACAAATAGCAAAAATCTGAACTAACATATTTCTTTTCATAAGGCAAATAGGCACCCAATTACCTTTCTATTATGGTACCTTAAAGAGTACAATAAAATCTATGGATCACTTATTTAGCATCTTGTATTCCAAGAATTCCTCATTGTATTGATTGATTGCTTTCACATTATTGAGTAACTTTTTCAGAAAATTTTCCAGCCAAATGAATTCAAGCTGCTTAGTTTCCATAGTGAAGAGTCAGTTCAGGCTTAGGTTTTCAGGTCAGGCAAGACAGGTCAAAATCCTGGTGTGTGGTTTCATCCGTATAAGGTTATGCCAGTAATCGGTTGCATACAGACAATGCACCTCCATGCATTTTTATGCTGCTAAAGCCAAAGCTTTCAGAGTGCCTCAGATAGGTGATAAACACAAAAAACTTCAGCTGGAGAAGATGAAAGAAATGTAAGAATCTTTCAACACCCCCACAGCATCCTAAACAACAAACCATTCCAATTGCTTGCAGATTTGCACTGGCTTCAACCCAACCAGGGCTCTACTATTCAGCCAACTTTGTATTGGAAATGATCATCTTGCTTTGGTATTTGATGGTCAATTTCACATTATTCCAGCAATGCCCGAAGAAATGCTTTTTGACAATTTGTAGAAATCCTGGCTGCAGATCATTCAGTCAAGAAGTGGTGCCAACAGTATAGGGTTGGACCTTACCAAATGGAATCTAGCTACTGATCCACAAATATTGGAAAGTATGTAAATTTCCTAAGCTTGGATGCCCAACTATATTAACTTACCACCACTTTCACCCCCAATAGACAAGCCTCATTGCTTTGATCCCAGAGTCCTGATTATCCTATTTCCTTTCAGGGAAAGGGCTGCCAGATTAGGCAACATAAGAAAAAAAAAACCACGGCATTTTGAACCAAAGCACCTGGCTCTACAGCTGTAGATTTTGTGGGAGTCACTCACCTTCTCTGGTCCTTAAAACTTCTAATCTATAAAATGAGGAACTAGGTAATCCTTAATTTCTCTTCCAGTTCTAAATCATGATTCTATGATCCACTGCTCTATAGCCCATTTTCTGGGATGAAGGTGATTTTCAACTTTAGGTTAGAATTGGTTCATTTTTTGAATATTTCATTTTCAAGGAAACAACATGCAGAGTTATCCTTTAAGAAATGAACATTTTAACCCTGCATTTCTGCCATTTAAAAAAGCTTATTTTGCCCTAGCCAGTTTGGCTAAGTGGATAGAGCTTTGGACCAGGGACTGAAGGGTTCTGGTAAGGGCTCGTACCTCAGTTGTAGGCTTGACCCGTGTGCAGGAGGCAACCAATAGATGTGTCTCTCTCACATAGATGTTTCTCTCTCTGTCTCTCCCCCTCCCTTCCACTCTCTCTAAAAAAAATCAATGGAAAAATATCATTGGGTGAGAATTAACAACAACAACAAAAGCTTATTCTGAAATAACTGTGAAAATTAACCACTTGAATGGCTTACAGCAAACATAGTCTAAAGTAGAAGTAAGCTTTTACTAATGTAATATACTAATTTACAGAATACTCTGTAAAACTATAAAATAATATATATGTAAAAACCTCATTTCCAAAAGACCTGCAAAGAATGCCAAAGGAGAAAATCCTAAAAAATTTTCTTATTGTAAAACTCAACTATTTAAAGCCTAGAGGGTTAAATAACTTGCTGGAAACTAAACAAAAATTTTAGGAAGAACTCAGGCTATAAAATAGGATATGCCTTGCAGATAAACCATCTTATTTTAAGGTACTCTAGAATTATGCCATCAGGAATATGTGAGAATGCCATGAAGTTGCACTTGCTTGAGGCAAAGCAACCATTTGTTGCATGAAAACTCAGAAATGCTTAGCGCCGAGATCCCTCAAACTTTATTTTCTAGAGTGGATTTACACTTCCTGGTCCTAAAAATGTGAGAATTTGAGGTGTAGGAAGAAGAGAGTCCCTGATTCATTATAATCACCAGTTCATTCTGTACATCAGATTATTTATTCACTTGATTCTTAGATTCACTTGTTGATAGATGCATGTTTGTTGTTCACAATTTGTATCTTTACCTTTTTCTTCTTCCTCTTCTTAAAGGATACCTTTCAGCATTTCGTATAATACTGGTTTAGTGGTGATGAACTCCTTTAGCTTTTCCTTATCTGTGAAGCTCTTTATCTGACCTTCAATTCTGAATGATAGCTTTGCTGGATAAAGTAATCTTGGTTGTAGGTTCTTGGTATTCATCACTTTGAATATTTCTTGCCATTCCCTTCTGGCCTGCAAAGTTTCTGTTGAGAAATCAGCTGACAGTCGTATGGGTATTCCCTTGTAGGTAATTGAGTCTCTTTCTCTTGCTGCTTTTAAGATTCTCTCTTTGTCTTTTGCTCTTGGCATTTTAATTATGATGTGTCTTGGTGTGGTCCTCTTTGGATTCCTTTTGTTTGGGGTTCTCTGCGCTTCTTGGACCTGTAAGTCCATTTCTTTCACCAGGTGGGGGAAGTTTTCTGCCATTATTTCTTCAAATAGGTTTTCAATATCTTGCTGTCTCTCATCTTCTGGCACCCCAATTATTCTGATGTTTGTACGCTTGAAGCTGTCCCAGAGGCTCCTTACACTATCTTCGTATTTTCGGATTCTTTTTTCATTTTGCTTTTCCGGTTGGGTGTTTTTTGCTTCTTCGCATTTCAAATCTTTGACTTGATTCTTGCGCTCCTCTGGTCTGCTATTGGGTGTCTGTATAATATTCTTTATTTCAGTCCGTGTATGCTTAATTTCTAGTTGGTTCTTTATCATAGCATCGAGGGTCTCATTAGTTTTCGTGACTCTCTCCTCAAGTTTATTGACAGCTTCTAGCACATTTTTGCAAGCCCTCAAAATTGCGATTTTTAGCTCTATATCCTCCATTTCTGTCATGTTTTTTTGTCTCCGCATTTTTTATGCTTTCTTGGTGCACCCCCTAGTGGTCTTTGTGCGCAGTCTTGTTCTAGTTGAGCCTTGATTGTTGTAGTTAATACTAGAGGGATTTGACCACCAGGCCGACTGGCTGTGTGAATCAGCTGTGTCTGCCGCGGAAAACTTCTGTCCTCTGGGGAGGTGCTAATCTAGCCTTTGCCTGAGGCGATCCGGCAAATGGCTCTGCGCAGGGCTTGGGCGGGGCGGGCTCAACAGGGCGGGCGGAGGGAGCCGTTATGGTGCCCTCAGTCCTGTTCCCAGAGGCTCTGCTTCTCAGAACCCCAGGAACCGCTGCAAACCTCGGAGAGAAAGCTGCCTTCCAACTGATGCCAGACACTCCCGCTTCTCCCGTTTGGGTCCGAGTCCCCAGCGATTCGCCCGTATCTGGAGCTCAGAGTCTGAGACTCCCCCCTGACCGAAAACGACAACCGCGCTCTCAGCCACCAGCCCGCTTTGCGCGCGCACCTCCGCACCTGAGTTTTTTCCACACTGCGCCTCCTCTGAGCCTCGGTGTGCTGTTATTTTTCCTTCTAGTTGAAGAGTCTCTCCTCAGCCAGCCTTCCTGTGGTTCTGGGTGATGTCCGTTCCATCTTTTAGTTGTATTTTTGAAGTGGTTGTTTGCGGCAGCAGTCTGCGGTGTTTACCTATGCCGCCATCTTGGTCCTGTCCCTAGGTTCTGACTCTAGGTTCTTCAGCCAGGTTCTCTCGCTAGGTTCTGTGTCAAATTTGAGAATTTGAGGTGTAGGAAGAAGAGACTCAGAACCAAGTATCTGTGTACAATGAAGTGTATCAGGTGACATCACTCCAGCTTCTGTCCCTTTCTGGCCAGAAAGGTGGGAAGTGAGGAAAGGAGAACGGAGCAATTTCAAACAACCAGCTCTGAGAATGCCCATGAAGGTTCGGAGATCTTCCAGAATCTGTCTGCATTACTTGTTGGGGGTTCCTAATTTGCCAAAGAATTATTATACACACAAGAGACCAAGCACTTACTACTACATCCAAGCAAAGAATTTTACAATGGTTATAAATATCCCAAATCAAGGACTGTCTGTCCAGCTCCTACTGATTCTTGTGCTGTGAGAAACTCAAGTACCAATACAGGTTCCACCCACCTAAACCTCTGTCTCCTAGCTTATAATGAACAGTAAGGAAGCTTAACTCTTCAGGTATGACACAGTCACTTTGTAAAGTGTCCAAAAGAGCCTTGGAGCTAAAATGTTAAATGGGCACACTTACCCAATATGGTTGGTTCTTAAAGAAATTTCCAGTTCTCTCAGCACTTGTGTGGATTCTTGAACACGCCGTCTGAATTTCTATAATTCAAGAAACACATATTCTCACAAAACATATTTTAGCAACTGCTAAAACTGTAGCTTACTTGTAATAAGTTTAACACAATATGAAAATAGCTCTGCTTCTGAAGTGGGCTTTTCTCACATTTCTTTTTGCAAAGCACACACATTTTTCTCATCATGAAAATCAGCTGATGCAAAAGGATTGGGAAAAATCACTTATTTTCATGTACTAAGTGTCATTATCTAAGTATATTATTTTCCCCTACCCCGCAATACCAATAGTCACCAATATATTTATGTGTTGGGGTCCCTAAGATCATCCCAGTTTCAATGATTCCATAGGACTCAGCATACAGTTGTCCTTATGACTAGGATTTATTAGACCAGGAAGATACCATGCACAATCAGCAAAGGGAAATGATACCTGGGGTGAAGTCTGGAGGAAACCAGATACAAGCTTCCAAGAGTCTTCTCCCAAAGGAGTCACAAGTGACAGTATTCGTGAAATGCTGTCGACCAGGGAAGCTCATTAGAGACTCGGTGCCCAGGGTTTTCATCAGAGGGTGGGTCACTTGGGCACTCTCTGACTAGCACATACCTAAGTCCAGCCTCCCAGAAGGAAAAGAGGCATTCGGCATAAACCATATTGTTGGCTTAAACAAGTTGGGCACCGGGAGTATTCTGATCAGGGAATGGTGGGAACTCTCCCAAAATTCAAGTTCCCAGTTGACAACCAGGAGCCAACCTTGCAAGCAGGTATTTCTAAGGTAGCAGTCTCAGGCTTGCTATGTTAACTCCTTTCTGCATGACCTAACATTTCCAAAAATAAACATTCATAGTTGTCTCTGCCCACGAGCCCCCACGTGGAAGGTCCCTGTTCTGAAGCACCTCCCTTCTACATTTGGAATGGCCTTCCTCATTCCCATGCCTCTAGAACCCCAACGATCCTTCCAGAACTCCCTCATGTCTTTCTTCTTCAATGAATCCTCCTCTGATAGTAAATGTGCTCACCTCTCTATCCTCTCAACACTATATAACCTCCAAGGATTCATTGGGTTGCACAGCACAGCAGTTCTTTGGAACACCATTTCCTACAGAAGCACTTATTTGCAATAACTAAAGTCTTGGGCCACTCTGGAAGGACATTTGATGTGCCAAGCCTTATAAGAAGAGTCCTCTGCTTTCTGTCCTGTAGGTCCAAACCACCATCATGTTACGCTGTTCTCGGGAAAAGGGTTTGAGGATTCTAGCTCAGGATATTAGAAAGCCTTGTCTACTGCCATCATTGCAGGGTACATAGGGGTATCTGGCTCCAAAGGCAAAGGTGTGCAAGGACAGGAAGGAAAGGAGAAAGTCTGGACAGGAGGATGGGGGTGGGGAGAGCCAGGCCACACCACAGGTGGAACCCGGTGCCCCAGTGAAGACCCGGAACCCTGCTCAGTATGGGCAGCTCCTGTCGCTCTCTTCTCTTCTGAAGGTTCTTTGCTTCTCCAACTGCTTCTCACCAGGGCACTAAGGAAGCAAAGACTCCCAGATTCCCCCTGGTTGCCATTCCTAAAGCACCCCAAAGACTTTCTCGGGTTTTTAGAATGTAGGTACAGTAGGATATATGAAATAAAAGCACCCTCGATGCAATGAAGAAAGAAAGACACTCCCCTCTTTTATCAAGAAAGGCCTAAGAAATGGCAGGAGCATCTACAGTTTGGAGGGGCATCCGACTGCTTCCTGCAGAGCTCTCCAGCACTGAGGGCTGCTGAAGAGGGGGTCTACGTACGGCCACGCAGCTGAGGGCACCATTTCCAGGTGTGCTGGCTGCTCCCGAGGGGCCATCCCCATGTCAGAGTCACAAGTCTTGGGCTACCTACACCTGTGGCCTTCAGAAGACAACGCTGTGTTCCTGGCTATGCATTTGGTACAGTTCTGACTGGTTTCCTGAGGCCTCTGCCGGCCAACTCTGCCTCATGCTTCCTCGGGTCAAGGTCATCTCTTCCAGACATCGTCAGCCACAAGGGCACCCAGCGAAGCAAGGAGGACATAATAGAGTATAAAAGAAAACCTGCTGAAGGACTAAGTGGCATATATCAAAACAACACTATCAGATAATGGGAAGGACAATAGCAGATAGCATTTACTCGCTATTTATTACGGTAGGCACTACACTTTGGCAACTACATAATACCTGAGGTGAAACTAAATTGACTTTGCCCTTGTACTTTACTCTCTCGGGAACTGTTTGATTTTTAGCTGACTTCTAGACTACAGAGAGGCTTGGCACCCACTTCACTAAACACATAAACAGTGAGTGCTAACACTCTGCACTTCTACAATGGATGCAGAATGCTTTAAAAGAGAAATTGTGTGCCCGTGGGGACCAGCTAAAAGGAGCAGGGTACCATCACTTGTAGTCTTCACCCCTGACTCGGCCTCTCCCTAAGAATAAGGTACAGCATGGGGATGGGCCCACGGAGACAGCTGAGCCCTGGAGACGGAGACAACAGATTTTACCATCACAGAGGACCAGACTCCCTTCTTCCTGGTCTGTGGCCTCTCCCATGCCAGACGCGAGCAACCCCTCCCACCTCCAAGGCATAGACTAAGCACTGGCTGGTATGAAATGAGGAGGCTGGTTTGGAGAGTTCTGATCCCAGAGATATCTAATTTAGGCTCTTCCTTTCCTGCCCTGGAGCGTTTAAAACTATTTAGAAGAAAATCTAAGTAGAATATATTTCAGAATTTTTTTCAGAAGACAGCACATGGAGTACCTTGTGTTCCAGATGAACAAAAGCTTAATGAACGAAGTACCCGAGGATCCAAATGCAGTTAAGGGAAGATGGCTGGGCCTAGACTATCTGGCCCTGATTTGAAATCTTTTTGTTTCCCCCTCCCATATTACAACTGAGAACTTTAAACACATTTTAACTGCAAGCCATGCCTTATTCCAAACAAAATCTCCTTTTCTCCAGGCTGTAAGCATGACAATTACATTGAGTGGAACAGATCGTTTCCTCCTGCCAGCTCCCGACAGAAATCGGAGCAGCAGGGACGGTGGATCCAACATCCATTTTATTTTTTTTCTGCCCCCAATGACTGATGGTGAAAGATGAGGCACAGACCAAACAAGGCCATTCAGGTGGACACACAGGGCCCGGGGCAGAGACTGAGGTCGGCCAAACAGACATCGATTGTCTGGGGCCTCTTTATCATTATTTGTGAGGGAGTAAAAACACTTTCTGAGCAGCTTATTAGTTATTTTTTTGTGTGTGTCTTATATTCTTTGCCTCAACCCAGAAGCAATTGTTCCAAAGGAGAGCTGGGACATGCCAGGAGGAACCCCCTCTCCCCTCCCAGCACCTTCCTCCCTGTGGGGTTTGGGGCTGGAGTCTAAGAAGCTCTCTGGGAGTTCACGTATTTTCTCCTTTCTTTTCAGAATCTGACAAATGTTGTGATAATTGTTTGGGGATGGGACATACTCTGTGTGAGGGAAGCGCTCAGTCTTGCGGACAGACATCGGCATCTCTGCAATGCTCAGCTCAGGGTGAGTGTGCCTAATGCCTGAGCATCCAGCCTGAAGGTGTGTAAGCCTGGGGATACCCGGAAATGTTTCTAAAGGGGAAGCTTGCTGCCCCTGTGCAGAGAAATGGCCCAGAAAACCACCTGGGGCCTTCTGCTTGTGTTCTGTGCATATGGGTGTGCCTTCACTTAGCCCCCTCTAATCTGATGACTGAGGCTGCTCCGTCCTTGGGGAGGAGAGGAACAAGAATGAAACAAAGAATTAAGCAGCTGTCTCATTGAGGGAGCCTGACAGAAGCTCTTTAGAAAAACAAACATGTGTGCGCCATATTTGGGAGGCGGGGGGGAAGCTATGAGACTTTGACAGGTACATTCTCAGAAGACGAGGCTGTGTCATTGAAGTCCATATGGCGTCTAGCCGACAGCACAGGTCTACATCCATTTCATCATCATGTCGAGATGTGATTTCCGCTTGCCTGCATGTTAACCATGAACTTCCAAAGGAAATAATAGCTGTTTTCCTTTGCTTAGCTTTTTTTTTTTTTTTTGAAAAGGGGTGGTGGGGGGTGAGTGAAAGCAAAAAAATAAAGAAAAAGGACGTTTTTTATTTATTTTTTTAAAATACAACAGCCAAGAGCCCTGGAAACAGTGGCTAACTGGGAAAAGCGTGCCTTTCTTCTCTCATGGGTCACACACGGAAACAACAGAGGGGATTCAGCTCCAGATATTTTCCTCGCAGCCTTGAAAGCAGGAGTTGCGGTAGGTCAACCGGAAAACAAGCGCTCGCTGCAGAAGAGCCCTTTACCCATCTTAGCAGGGACAGCTCTGCCCCGAGACATCCCAGGCCCGCAGGGCTGTGCCAGGCTGCATGCCTGACCACGAGGCATCAGTGTAAACCAATTGTGTGGCTGCACAAAGCAGGGCTTGTTTGTAAAAGGGGAGCGTCTGTCGAGAATGGAGTCAGCTTATTCTCTCCTCACCTTCTTGGGGCCAGGGGCAGGGCTGGGGCGGGGAAGCTGCTAAAAGCATCAACACAGGATGTGAGAGCACAGCTGGGATGACAAAGCCCAGTGATTTTTCAAGGTCTCTGGACATGCACCCAGACATGAAAGACAAGTCAGCCGCTGCTGGGCCTGCTTTCCTGGGGCCCCCACACCTCTGCACCGCACTCGCCGCCTGTGTAATTGCACATGGCAGTGCCTCAGTGGCCATCAGAGGGAAGGGCCTCCCTTCTCAGGAAGGCACTCTTAAACACACCCTCAAGTGAGAAGGACAGCTTCTCCCTTTGTCTTCTCATGTTCGTCTCTAGACTGTTTTCCTGGAGGCCCTGGCACGGGCTACAGTGCGGAGGAAGGAAGGTCTCCCCAGTGCAGAGGACTCTGCTTGCTCACGGGGAAGCGGTAACAAAGAGTGGAAATAAATCCCTCTTACCTTCCTGGTTACAGCTGGATCCAGATAGCCTTTGAGCTTCTGAATGTATGTGTGGGGAGGATTCTTCACCTGGAACCGTTCCTGCAGGAAGCACAAAAATAAAGTAAAAATATCGCATGTATGAAGGCATGACAACCAGCCATGTTCCAACAGACTCAGATGCTGATCCAAGGCTGAAAGGCACCCACAGAACGGACGTGGCCCTGCAAATCATCACTATATTCTAATGATGGTGTCCTCTCTGCAAAGGAGAAAACGGAAGCTCAGAGCAACCCGGCCCTTCCCGAAGGTAACACAGCTGTCAGTGGTGCAAATGGATCTGAAGCCACATACCCTCCTCTAGTCTCTCCTGCTTTCTCTGCAGCTCTCATTCCAGGAATAATGTTTTGCCCAACCTGTAACCACATCCTCTTCTAGCAGGTCCTCAGTCTACTGCATATTCTTTTGAAATCTTTAATGTTAGCAAATCTTTTTTGAATATTAATTCTTTGGGGGAAAAAACAACAAAAATTTGACTCAAACTCGATAAAACTTCTCTGTTTCAAAAATGAAACAGTCTATTCCTAAGAGGCTGGAGTGAGCGTGTATTTGCGTGTATGTATACCCATGGGTGTGATCGCTAATGGGCTCCCAAGGCAGCCCAAACTAGAAGACCCAAAAATAGTTTAAGCAAAACCACAATCATTGAAATAAGCATATTTTACTAGTATATATACACGCTATTTGAATAGAGACCTGATGTGGGACCCCAGAATCTGCATTCTAACAAGTTTTATGCTGGTGCTGTGGATGGAGGGACTATACCTTGAGGAACTCATGCCCATGCGTATTGGATTTTATAGACTATAAAGTCCAAAGCAGCATAATAAGCAGTAGTAAAAAACTGGGTGGAACCCAAATGCCCACAAACTATAAAGTGGATGGATAAATACTTATACTATGTTCATTCAACCAACTATCACAATGAAAATGCATAAACTACACAGCATGCACTGCATGCTCCTACATAGATGGGTCCTATAAAGCTGATGTTAAGACAAAAAGAACACGTGATTTCATTTACTACAGATTTACACAAAACGGGCAAAATTAAATAATCTAAATAATCTTTAATGGTTTTATTTATGTCCATGTGCGTGTGTGTGTGTGTGTGTGTGTGTGTTTAAGAGAGAGAGAGGGAGGGAGAGAGAGAGGGAGGGAAGGAGGGAGAGAGAGGTAGATGACTAGCTGGAGGACTGAGGTGGGGGAAGGGAAATATGAAGTATTCCTTGAGAGGTTAGCAATGTTCTATTTCCTGACCGAAGTAATACATGGGTACTGGCTTCATCCTACTTGTTATGCTGTTCTTGGGTTTCACAACCTCTTCTGTACATATGCTATACTTGACACACACAAAAAAAAGTTTAAATAGTGTATCAGCTCTAAACAGAAAAAAAACAAAGATTCATCATGAAAGCAGGACAATTCTTATCAGGTTCTACCCTACCTCTACCCCAAAAGATGTTTTTCCTAGTAATTATTTTAAACCTGATTATTGCTTACACCTCAATGGAATGTTTTAGTATTTCCCAACACTGACACTGGCCAGCATGTTTAAGCATTTGTGTAACCCATGAGAATTCTATTTCTCCAACACAGGGCACCACAATACTCTTCCCAGTCCACTCAAGTCTTGCTCACTTAAGATTCAGAAATGCTAAAGATCATCTTACTATTACCAAAAAGGTAATCTTACTAGTGAAAGTATATACTTTTAATTATGCTTTAAAATAGAAGGAAGTAGCTTATAGTGAGACATCTATCAATATTTCCCCTCTACTTAAAAAATGATTAGGGTGAATCTTATAGTATATCAACTATATCGCAACAAAGCCGTTAACATAAAAAGACCAGCATACTGTTCCTAATTGTTCCCCCAAATTTTCTACCAGGAGAAACATCTCGAGTGTCATCATGGGTCTGTATAGTTCTTTTTATTAATTTTAAACCACCATCACTTAGGTAAGGAATCAAAGGGAATCCAACCGCCCTGGGGTTTCAGTAGCAGCCCAGCTGAAGGCTAAAAAATCACAAAAAGCTCTGATCTGAAAAGTTGACTGACAGCTAACTAGTTACTATTTCCAACCTTGCATGTAACCGACAGCTGATGCCAGAGATACAGTAGGATATAATAAAACTTATGCTTTTTAACAATCCAATCATTCAAATTGTTAAAAATCCTATGACAATGCAAAGCTGTGCTCCCTTCTGCTATAGCAACCAATTACTACCAAATAGAAGGCCCCTAACATAACCTCAAGGAATTCTAACTCTGGCTAATGCAGTATCTGCTTGAGGACTTGAAATATGAATCTGTGGACAATTGCTGACAGATTTCTAATTTATGTTCTTTTAGGCGAAGTCCCCATACCAGAAGAGCCATATGTATTCCTTTAAAAGTAAAATCTGGTTGCCCTGGCCAAGTGGCTCAGCCGGTTGCAGCATCATCCCATACGCCAAAAGGTTATGGGTTTGATTCCTCATCAGGGCACATACCCAGGTTTCAGGTTCAAACCCCAGTTGGGCGTGTATGGAAGGCAACCAATGGATGGTTCTCTTTCATATCTCTCTCTCTCTCGCTCTCTCTTTCGCTCTCGCTCTCTCTCCATATACTCAGGTGAGGATTAAAAATAAATAAATAAGGTTGAGTAGCACATAAAACATTGGCATTCACTCAGTTAGTGAATCCCATTTTTGATAGTCAGTAAGGGCATCTTTCTCCACTTCCTGTTTAAGATTGGGGTGACCCAGAAAGGCTTTCTCAAATCCAGGGGCAAGCAAAAATAGGTTTACAGCTGTGAGTAGGTGAAACTGTTTACTCTTGTATTATTACTTATTAATTATTTTATTTATTGGTATTATAACTATAAACTTACTTTTGCCCACCCCTGTCTATACTTTTATTGGTCCTGCAAATATTTCCTTACTAGAGAGATGCTGTTGTGTTTTAGGCACATTTTTCACTTGTTTGAGAAACTTACTAATTTATTTCCAAGAAAGATAAAATAAAGAAGCCTGATGTCTTAAAATACAGTAGGTCTATATCACAGCTACTTCTCGAAAACTCGGCCTGCATCCAGGGTTTCAAATAAAACTGTACGGCAGAAGAATACAAAGCCCCAATCATTTTCCTGAAACTTAAGGTTGTTTCTATAATCTCAAAAGGAACTACAGTTGGAGCTACAAATCCAGCATCTGCCCCACCAAATCTTTTCCGTCTCTTCAATATAGCCATTTGAACAAAAGTTAATTTTTGGGGGAATACACTGGAGAATGTCAGCACCTTGCCAACACACATTTTTTATTTGGAAGGGCTTTGTATAGATTAGTGACATCATACTTATTTAAATTAATGTTTTTTTCTCTAAATATTAGAATTTTAGATTTTTGAATTGAAACCCCAAATTGCCTTGGATGGCAGTTTTCCATCACACTCACTTCCAAATGTTTCATCACCCACATGCTATTTCAATAACTTTTTACCTACTTGTTCAACATCATTGATATGGGTAGCTTAATTAAATTAAGTCCTCAACCTGAGTTTCATTATATAGAAATATTATTCTTAGGGATAAAGAATTTATTTAATTATGGTGATTTGTTAATATGGATTTTTTTAGCATCTGAAAGAGCTTTAAAATACAAGTTTCTAATTTTCCAGGTAGATACCCAGAAGTGGGGTTGTTGGGTCATATGGTAACTCTATTCATAATTTTTTGAGGAGCCTCCATACTGTTTTCCATAGTGGCTGTACCAGTTTACATTCCCACCAGCACTGAATGAGGGTTCCTTTTTCTCCACAACCTCTCCAACACTTGCTATTGTCTTGTTGATAATAGCCATTCTAACAGGCATGGGGTGGTATCTCACTGTAGTTTTGATTTGCATTTCCTTAATAGCTAGGGAAGTTGAGCATCTTTTCATATATCTGTTGGCCATTTGTATGTCTCCTTTGCAAAGATATATGCACCCTTATGTTCATTGCAGCACTATTCATGGTAGTGAAGACATGGAAGCAACCCAAGTGTCCTTCACTAGCAGACTGTATAAAGAAAATGCAGTACATATATACAATGGAATACTGCTCAGCCACAAGAAAAGATTAAATACTGCCATTTGCAACAACATGAGTGATCTTGAGAATATCATGCTAAGCAAAATGTCAGATAGAAAAAGTTAAGAACCTTATTATTTCACTCATATGTGGGATATAAACTGAAAGCAACAAATGAACAAACAGGAAAAACAAAAACTCATAGACACAGACAATAGTATGGTGGTCACCAGATGGAAGAGTGGGTAGTAAAGGATAAAGGGGGTCAATCAAATATATGGTGACAGACAATATAACTTTGGGTGGAGGACAGATAATGTAATATACAGATTATATATCATAGAAATGTACAATCAAAACCTATATCATCTTATTAACCATGTCACCCCAATAAATATAATTTAAAAATATATCAAAATTAAAAAATAAAATACAAATTTCTTTCAAAATGTCAATATAGCATCACCACCATCCTGACCTCTTGCCACTAATCTCCGTGTGCAATCAAACTTTATTCAAGAAATGTTCCTGGATAAGAAAAAAAAAAATTGCTCTGGAGTTTTTAATCATTCCCCATAAGCATTCACAAAAAAAGAGCCCAAAGACATTTCTAAACATTTAGGCATGCTAGACCACAGATTGCACTGGAAGGAGCTTAGAAGGAGAGAGAGGGCAGCAACAAGCCTTAAAATCGGAACTTCATTAAGCTTCTGTGTCGTTTGCAAATATTTTACTTTGAGTGTTAGAAATTCAATTTCTCTGGTAATAATCAGAAAATGTCTTGTCATTGCTAACAGTGACTTTATTTATGCACTTCCAGGGACACAATTACCTTTTTATCTGGGGCAGCACTTCTGTTTCTCAAAGGTTAACTTATCTATATATATAAAAGCCTAAGCGACTGGAATGACTGGACAACCAGTCACTACGATATGCACTGACCACCAGGGGGCAGACACTCAATGCAGGAGCTGCCCCCTGGTGGTCA